TGGGCCAACAGGGTCTGCAAATCCTGCAAACATGCTCAGGTCCTGTGAAAGGGAGCACTTTCTTTGTAGTGAGACCCTATGACCCTATTTCTGGCATAAAGGTTATGCCAGAAATTAAATAAGATGACTGCAAAGCTTTTGGGAACAGTAATACGGTAGACCTCAGAATATTTGCACCACAGAGAACCACAGCTATCCCCACTGTTTGAAAGAACTCTATCCAGTTCTTAACAATTGCAGGCTGGGGTGTAACAAAACCCAGAATCCAGGAAGACAAATAACAGATACATTTCACAGTGTTCTCTAAAATAGGCAATTCTAAGACATGGTATGTCTCATGGGTGAGGAGACAACAGCACTCATTCAAATAATCAGAAAATGTTATTTTTCCAGTATAAGATCAAATATTAAGCTTTTTCATTGCTTTTCTTTTTCTTGACTTCACAAGTTATATAGCTAGTGGAGGGTGACATACAGAACTTGGTCAAAAAATGCAAACTCCAGTTTTAGCTGCAGCATCAGTTATTTTAGATTTTGGGCTACTCAGCTCCTCAAGGAATAAAGCAGTGATAATAAACCATTCCACAATGAAGAATATGCTAGGGTACTATATTGTACAATGCACAATACATTGTAGCATATACACTCTTACACACTGAAAACTGCTTGATTTTATACAGCCACTAGCTCCTAAGCCTTTCATTATGAATCACAATTCTTCACCTTAGCTACAATACTGATCTTATTAAATCTGAGTATGTTTATAATTTTGCCAGTGTACAGGAACTGTCAGTTAAATAGCAGGATACTTAACAGGATGAAATTCAGAAACTGTGCTGCAGATATCAAATTATGCAGGTTAACTTTAATAACTGTCCTTGTAAGTAATTAATGCTTATAATTAGTTACCAGAGATGTTTTTTTCATTTAAACCTAGCCTGCTTTATGAATTCCAGTACTTCTTCCTCAGAGAATTGACCAGGCAGAGTAAATCCTACCTATTTCTGACATCTTCTTCATCCCTTGAACTATTTTAGCACTAGAGTTGGTACTCAGCGGATGGCTGATGTATTTTGAAGCTACCATACATTTTAAACACAGGGCCAGTTCTCCATGAGAAGCCTCAGGGATGTTAAGGCTATCTTGTGCTATGTAAAAATAGAAGGCTTAAGTATAAGCAGCATAAAGAAGTATAAAAGCCTGACTCTTTCTGATTGCCAATATATTATGGCAATCCTCCTTCAAGCCCTGGCAGGGCAACAGGCTACAGATCACAGCAAAATATCAGAATGCAAAATAGTTTTCATAGACCACGGTTTCTTTTGCAAAAGATATTCAAACAGTTTTTTGCAACTAATGAAAGTTTATCTATTGGCAGACTAAACATTATCAGAAAATATGATCTCACCACTGGTCCCTGAAAAAGTCTCTGTTGAGATAATTCTTATCTTCCAGTGGCTAAAATAAAAGTGTATGTTTCTCTTTCATGAATAGTGAAATGTCAAACAGAACTCCAGGAGTTTCCAAAGCAATAATGCACTGCAGACTAGCGTGTTGGTTTGGTTAAGTGGTCTCACATAATCTATCTGTTTTCTACATCATTAAAACATTTATTGTAATTTTGCTTATGGAAGTAGAAACCTCTGATTGTTAACTTCGCTGTGAATTTGTTCTAACCTCTCCAGTGTCTGCACAGAAAGCAGCTTCTGGTGAAGATCTTCAGAATTTGATTCAGAATGTTGGAGAATCCAACCTAGAGAAAAAGAATGAGAGATTAGAATTAGCTGCATAAGTAAACACTGATGTTAATGTCAGTCCTGGTCTACGGCATCTGCCAATATAAAGTAAGGTTCATTCATACGAATACAAAGTACTGAAGCTTTCAAAATATCCTTCTAAAATGAACAGATTCTCTGCCGTAAAAAATACAATGGGAGAAAGAGGGAATGTGCATTTTAGGTGTCTTCAACGGAAAAATAGAAAATTATGTTTAGGAAGAAGATGGGCATCCAGAAAAATGGATTATTGGTTTGAACTAGATGATCTTACGGTCCTTTCCAAGCCTAACTATTCTATGATTCTATGATAGACACTCATATGAACTACTTCTCACATCAGCCACAGGCACTGTTTGATTTGTGTACAGCCCAGGATCACTGCTGAGAAAAGATGCAGGTAACACAGTCTCTAATTATTCTCAGCAGCACTCTGGAGAAGTAGCTGAAAAATTAAGCCATGCATCACTTTCAGAAACAGGAGCACAGAATTCTTTTAGCATGCATTTCTGTAAGATGCCTATTGTTGCAGTTGCAGCTGCACTACAGCAGGTAGATTTTACTTAGATTCACATTTGCAGCATTTGTGGATGATTTCAGAAGTCTTGGGGAAGCATGGAGGAAGGCGTTTCTTAACTTCTGGGGATCCTCAATTATTCTCAGTCCATTTTCTAAAAAGGTGAGAAGGCCCAAGATGAATGGTCAGGATGTGACCTCTATACAGTTTGAACACTTTCTGATTATTATCAAGAAATCAGATTACTTGATAAGAAAGTGAAAAAGAGGTGATAAAAAATGGCTACAGACATAGACTGCTAGAGAATGGCCCAAACAATTGTTAAAATTAATGCAAGGAATCTCAGATTACTTAGATTTATTGCTTCACTATGAACAAATTGAAGAGCAAGTTGGTCAGAAACAAGAACTCAGTGGGTTAGAATTGCACTCAGAGAAATGCATAACCTATTGCTTGGTATTCCCTTCACCAAATAAATAATAAACCTGTGATGACAGACTGAACAAATGGAAGCTCTCAAGAAAGGGCAGGGACAGTTCGGTGAAAGCTGGTTGTCTCAACCCTTTAGGTGTCCATCTGTGACTAAGGAAACTCCAACTGCGGCCTGACAATAGAGTGCACTAGCAGAGTCACTGGTGGAGTGATGAAGGGAAGTGTGCATGATCTTGAGATCACTGAGACTGCAGAATAAAAGGGCTGCCTGTGAGCACAAGAGCTAAAGGTGGAATCAATACTCTTCCAAACTTAATAGCTCAGAGACATCAAGAGCATGCAGCTCTACAGCAAAGCATTTCAGAGATGCTGTTGCTTTGTTACAAGCATAAGAAATCGACTGGCACATTTTCAGAAGACAACAAAAGAGATTGGCCATTCAGTGCTTATATATTTGTTTGTAGAGCTAATCCTCCATGCTAGGATGCTGGCTGTCTCTGCAGCACTTTTAACCTTCACCAGCCAAGGAACTTGCAGTCCTTGTGGCACCTGACCAACTTCATAGCCAGGATTAGCAAAAAAATGCACAAATGTGCTGCCTTTTTTTTTTTCTCCCACATGGCAATGTTCTTAAAGAAATCCAAAAAGAGGTGCAAACTAAGCAGTTCTTCCCTTTAGATCATTAAATTTGTCCATGTTTTAGGCAGAACTGGTATAATGCCTTATGAAGAACTTTTCAGTTAGTGCATTAGAGTTCCCATTCAGAGCAAAATTTATTAAGTCAAATATATGTGGTCCGAGAATTTCCAGCAGGGAAAGGCTTAAAATAATAACCCAAAGCAGTTATTCACCCTGTGTTCTGCTAGCAAAGACCAGTGGACCTGCAGTGGCTATGTAGAAAACCTTGTTGGCAGATGATCAGAGATAATCAGAGAAAGACAGGGCATTTAAAACCAGATTCTATCCAAAATCAAGGGCAGTTATTGCTTGACAGTTACTTCCTCCTCATGCTAATACATACTTTAGTTAATTCAGGCATTCGGAACAGCTGTCAAGGTACTGCATCATTCTAACCACCTCTGCTACAAGCCATCCAGCTCAGCTGCCTGCTACTGTTACCTCTTTCCTCACAAATGTTGGATGAGAGTGAGAAGCCAATTGTGATGGGTGACTGGCCAGCATCATTTTGCACAGTAGGAGCTAGACAGGAAGAAAGCAGAGTGCAATGCTTATGATCATACATGCAAAGGTAAGTCAGCTTTCAAAAACATAAACCCAAAGATTATTCTTTTTTTAAAAAGAGGGAGACTGCAGTAGCACCTGGACACCTGAAAAAGGCTTGACTCAAACCTATGGTTCTGCACTGAGATTAATGACACTTGCTTAACGAAATGCTCTGGATGCAAGTTTTTTTTTTACTGGTGCAATATGTTCTGACTATATCACTCACCTTGAAAGAGGAGACTAAAAATGCTTTGATAAATGGTTTGAAACATTGCCCAGTTTCACCGGCTTTGTTCTTCTAAGTGTTTTTACCTCTTGCTTCAGCTGCAAAGCTATTTCATCATGTCTTAAAAGGATGCTTTGCAGAGAGCTGCAATATAACAAGCTATAAAGTGGAGCATGCGGCCTACCCATACGAGAGAGTAGTCTTAACAGAAAGTGCTTTTTTCCCTTTTGTGGCCAAACATTACAACATAGCACATTTACCCAGCACAAAGTTACCCTTACTTCCTAAAGGCGTGTTTGATGCTGTCTCAAGTTTTCTTTTTTCCTTTCTAGTGCAGGCTGGTAGAGCAGAGGCTTGTTTTCTCCTGGATCTCATACTTTTTTACACTAGTGACTTCTGGTGCCATTTATGGTAATCAACCTCCTCAGCAAGTTCTCTCCAGCTACAGGTTAGCACATTCACAAGCCTCTGAGGGAAACCAGCCTCATACCTAGCAAGGAGCTACAACTTCTCTCCCAAGTTCTTGTAACACTTTGTCAGCCACAGATTTATTCAACATGTTCAGTGGCGAGTCCTCATCTGCTTGTGGGATCAAAGATGTTTGGGAGATCTTTGGGTTTGAGTCCTCTGTAGTGGTTTTACACATGGAGTGACAAGACACTTGTCACAAAACTGGGTGGGTTTTTGTTTTCTTGTAATTTTATTGTTTAAGAAACTGTCTTCATGCCTTTTTCACACTCACCTGTACAGATGGCACTATTGCCTTCAATTGGGCTGAGGAGAAAGAAAAGCTGTATCAAGCGAGAGCAGTGACAGTTGAAGAACAGAGACCTGTTAGCTTTGCTGCCTGAAACATACATGGACAGGCTGGCAGTGCTCCCTTTCACAGCTGAGACTGAGCTACATTTTTTCCCAAGAAGACTCCCAGCTCAAGCTCAGAAATACCTGTGCAGAGCAGCACCAGGAGATTTAGTGCAGCCACTGCCAAACCAGTGAGCCTCTGCACTGACAGTGTATGCTTTAGATTATGCCTGCTGAAGTGCAATGTAATGTAATGTAACATGCTGATTGGTTTCTTCTCTCCTATGTAAAACCATTTTCTCTTGCCTCCATAAAATGGCAATCAAATAAATCCGAAGCTTTGCCTTTTTAGACATGACATGCAAAAGACCTTTAGGTGTAATGAAATTTTTAAGTGTCTAAAGAAGTCTTCTCCAGCAACTGCTGATTCTACATACCCATTTTCTGTTTTGGGAGGGTGTTTTTTTCAGTTTGAGAACACTGATCTTCCATAATTGTGAGAGGGCAATCTTTATTTTAGTTTAATTGGAGGACTGCCAATGTGGAAAATTTATTAACAAGTTTTTTAGGAGTTTTAAAATCTAAAATACAAAGAAATTTTACCAAAAAGAAGTCTTAGTCCTCAAGTCTTTAACCACACACAAGTTTAGCTGTAACCGCATGGTTACCCTGCTCCAGTTTCAGTGGTAGCTTCTTACACTCTTGAAGTAATGTGCACACAAACATGTTCATAGATGGAAACAACCTGGAGTAAACTTCTGAAATTCTAAAGCAAGGTAGGCAAAAGAAACAAACAAACAAATCAAAACAAAAAAAACCAACAAAAACCAAACCAGTTTAAAGCAAACGGGATGAAACCTGAATTTAAAACCCAGCTATCCAGAGACGACCCACCCCAGAGGAATGCTGTGAACACCAGTTCCAAATTCATTAGTCAGTAGACATGAACTTCATGAAATACACAGACCTCTGCACCTGCCAATGTTGCCGTTGTTCAGTTCACACCAAAACAGTGAACAAGGTTATTATGTGGCATTCTTTAACTAACTGCTCACGGTTTTTATGTTAAATATATTAAACTCATAAAATGCTGACAGCAGAAGTGAACATCAGGTTCTACACCTCAGAGAATTAGGTATAGGACATTGTCACCTTCTCACTTGTCTCCCTCTGCTCTTACTGCATGGCAGGGTGCCAGTTCTGGTCATGTGCCTCCCCCATCTCTCCTGTTCTGCCTTGGCCACATCTACCGTGGGACTCCTTTTTGTACCTTCTCTGGAAAACTAGTTGACAGAATCTTCCCTGCTCTCACCACTACTGGTGTCACACTATTTATCACCTGGGAGTAAAGCCAGCAAGAAGATCTGCAGTGAAATATGAAGACAATTCTGGTATCTTCTTGCCTTTCTCTTTAATCCTACATCTACAAAAAAATGAATGTTTCCAATGTAAGATTGGAAGAGGTGTTCAGGGAAAGAGGAAAGTAGAATGCACTGTATATAAAAGAAATACCTGGTCAAAGAAATACACAGGTCCTGCCCCCAGTGCTGCAGCTGTAAGCATTGCTTCTATTACTCCCTAGAATTAAGAAGGGGTGGAAGACCCCACAGGAAAATAGTTATGTCAGCAGGCTCTGAGAAAGAAACAGTCTATGTTTTTTTATACTAACAGTGAAGCTGAGGAATTACTTTCTGCATGAGGCCTTGAAAATCTGCTTCAAATAATACAAGAACCAGCACTACATGAACGGGAATACATTAATGCATCTGAGGATTAGATTATATGAAGTTGATTACAAACCTGAAGACCAAAATACCAGGTTTTGATATTTTAGGTTCATACTACTCTAAACTAGTATTTTCATGAGATAAGGCCTGCAATTATTTCTGAGAATAGGCAATGTCTCAGTTTGCTATCTGAAAAAGACCACTGCTTTCATCTGCAGTTACAATTCAGTGAGTACACCAATAAATGTGCTTTTACTTAAAAAAAAAAAGGAGGTTTTATGACTATGATAAATATAAAAAATTTGTTTGAAAGATACCAGTGTGGGGACCTTTGTGCAACCTTCCACCCCCTACCAAGACTGCACACAGGCACAGAGGTATACTATGAGAGAGATGCTCACTGTAGCACATCCTCCTGCACATATCTGCATACACGCCTAATGCACTAGTTCCTAATCACAGAAATACAGAGTCTTTTTGAAGCACTAGTCCAGATAATGGTTTGCTCAGTTTATGTGAACCTTGTAACTTAAAAGCAATCTTAAAAATGAGCTTCAGAGGACTTACTTTTCTATTTCACAGCATGAATCTATTCATGTGAACTGAAAAGCACTTGCTTTGTCCCAGTCTGAATGCCCAAACAGCAGTCTGTGCTTCTCAAGGTGACTTTCAGAAGCAAGAGAGATGAAATTTGCTTCTTTCTGGAAGCACTCATTGCATCCTTTGAAAACCTGTCCTCCAAAGGGCACAGATGTTGTGACACTAGCTGATAAGAGCCAGTATGCTTGGTTTATGTCTGACAGGGTGTAATCAAACTAGTGTTTAGTTAAAAAAAAAAAAAAAAAAAATTGCTAAGGAGTGTGGAAAGAAGTTCACAGCGAATAGGGTTAAATGTGGATTTTTTGGCTGCTTTTGTCACCTCTTAACTTCAATTTAGCTACTTCATCTAGATTTTAAATATCATCTTAAAGAAGGTTTCAGAATTAGGGAAACCTTTACCCTGCTCATGTTAATGAAGATACTTTTCGGTTACAGCTATCATTCCCACAGTAAATGGTATGGGTGTTGACGGCTGAGGAAATACAAATGTCCTCTGCTCTCAGCAATTGGTGAGGCGGAATATTTCTTCTTCTAGAGTTCATAAGACATATCTGCTCTCACGCAAGAAACATTTTCTTTGTCTACATCCAGGTTTTAGGCCTGATATTCTAGTCACAGAAATTGTCCTATTGACTTCAGTGGATTTTCAGAGCTCAGTACGGGCTATGAGATTTAGCCCTAAGCTAGGAAAAAAAGAGTATTAAAGTGTCATAAACACACAAACAATGGCATCAGTCCCAGAAATAAAACCAGAAACAAATACAATATCCCTCTGATCAACTTGGGACTCATACACCCCTTACTCCCTGGTCATCCTTCCTCCCCTTCTTTCCAGGATAAAACTGCAGCTGTCAGAAACAGCTCCTTCACTCTGTTCCATGCCATTTCTTGATGCATACAGCTTGATAAGAAAACAGAAAACATAACATACCCTAAAAAAGTCTTTTCCTGAAGATCGTAAGTTCTTATGCTAGGAACACCGCGCAATGGGAGCTGCCTCCTTGGAAAAAAATACGAGGTGAATCTCTGTGTTAAGAGTTTTAAGTCCTGCTGCTTAGTTACCAAGTTGTGGACTGCATTCAGCTCTTCCCTCAACTCCCCAGCTACTGCCTGCCTTTGTCCAGGAGGCTGCTTAGGAAATAGGAATAATCACTGTGAGAAAACAAAAAAACCCAGTATTACTCTCCAGCTAAAAATGGTATTCACATGTCTCTTCTGGCCTATGGCCTGTCTGATACTGTCTTCTTATCATGCTGCCTAGTATAGCATGAAATTGAAAAACCTAGCATTCATTAATGTAATGTGTATTAAGTGCTAGGAACAGCTGACTGGCAATAACAGAAGAAGGACAAAATGATCTGAACTGGTAAGGGCATGCTACGAGGTGTGACTCTCTCTCTGCTTCTAAGAGACCAGATACTCTTAAAGGCAGGCAGGTGGGGAACGTGGAATCCAGATGTCAGGCTGCTGATGTTACTGTTTGCTTTGTTAATACAGTCAGTCCAGCTTTTTACTCCCACTTTTTTTTTCACACAGCATTCCTATTTTTGCATCTTAGTTACCATGCTATTACCCTGTTAGCTACCTGTACTCTCTTATATTGAGCATAAAGCTAATTCCAGGTCTAGAAGTAGTGTAACCTGGAAGGTGCTTAACTTTGCTCCATCCAATGTGACGTCTTCTCTGCAAAACTAATGAACAGCTTACATAATGCTTCTGGGTTCAGCTAACAGCACCTCAAACTGCAGAGACACATTGTTAATCCTGCCTCTTCTATCTCACTGCTGGTCTTCTTTTCACTCTGCTAGGTTTCATACATATTCTTTGTTAAGTGAAATGTGACCCCTGTCCACAATTTCTTTACAGGCTACTTTTTTAAGGAAAGGAGGCTTACATAAATGTTAAATTTCAGCCATATTTGCCAGAATAGCACACCCAAAGATAATTATGCCTGAACACACTTTGTGAAAATACGCAGCTGGGTATACGACAGAGGCCCAAGGAAGAGAGACAGACCAAACTCCACTGAACTGTGTGGTAGCAGTCAGCTGGCCAACTGCACACATATTAATACAGTACAAGCCATATCTCTCTCTCCATTGAGCTATCACAGTGATTACAAATGGTGCTGGAGTCATTCTGGGGAAGAAAGAAACAACCCTCTGAGAAAAATGGATTCATTAATTCAGCTGATTACAGATATATTTGTTCTGCTTGTTGCCCTTTTTCCTCTGATGCCCTTATTTCTCATGTCTGCAATCTCTGCACCACATGTATTCTTACCTGCCTTATTTTTCCTTTATCTATTTCTGGTCAGTATTTCTCCTTCCATGTCCCCTTGAGGTTCTGTAGACTTTATGCCCTACTTTATCTATGACTTCAGTTCTAGAGTCAACAAAATCCATAGCCTGGCAACTTGTCTGTTTTGGCACACAGCAGAGCGAAAGGACCAGGAACACAAGCTTGTAGCTCTCCAATCTGTCAAAGGCATCAAATATAGTGAGTGGTAAGAACAGGCTGGTATATGAGAGGCTAACAGATTAAAATCAAACACAGAAGTAGAAACACTGCTATAGAATCTCTCTAGACCATTACAGTGCCCAGTTACAATAAACGTACAACAAAATGGTCGAAGATGACTCAAAACGGAGAATTCAGGGAATATGCTCCATGATGTATTGTCATCCTTGCCTCTGCCAACCACAGAAAAAATCCAAACCAAACAGGTTTTTATATTCCTCTTCTACTTAATTACAAAACTGGAATGGAAAGGAATAAAGAAAAAGTGTCCCAGGCAACCTTAATGCACATACCTTTGTGTCATCCGTTCTCAGTATGAGAAGGGTTATTTCTCCATGGCTCTCTTCAGCAGCTTCAGACAACATCAATTCTGACTGGAGTAAGGGCAACAGAACAGCAGAAAAAAGCAGTTAAAAGAGTTAAATGGCTCACCTGTTCTATTGTGAAAAGTTTATTCTGCTTTACACATAGTAATAGGACCCTCCTACAGGTGGTCCAGTAGCATTAATTGACACTAGCATATAAAAAACATGGTTTAAAGGAGGAATAAGTGGTAATACTGCAATTCCCAACTGCTGGGGCATGTCTCACTGCTCTGAACATGCCTTAAACCCAGAGGAGTCCCACTACCATGAAAGGCACAGCTGGATGTTTCCATGTTTGATTGTTCTTAGAAGCCAAAGCACTGGAGAACATACCATTGTGACACCTGCACAAAGCAGGATGGAGTTTGTTTGATCGGTACTAGAGCATGAGCTTAGTCTTCTGAAGTCTTGTGCTTGCTGAGAACTGTTTGAGGGGGCAGAATTTGAACCTCGGTGAGGTACAATGCATCTTACCCAAGGTACAAAGCACCTTTCCCAAGCAAAGATCTGGCTGCAGAAGCATTTTAAAACATGGCTATGCAGGATAAGGCCCATTTATAACTGGTGTATATTACAAACTATCATGACACTATATTATACTATATACTATAAATACATCTCAGGCAAGAGTTGTTAAAATATGCCAGTAAGGAAGGGGAGGGGAAAAAAAAAGTATTTTTAGCCATCATGATTATATATATAGTAGAAGGCCTGTGAAAAGTGTGAACTTGGTAGAGGAACTTTAAGAATTAAGCTGATTTAATGAACCATTAGTGGATGCTGGTAATACTGGTATTTCCCCTTGGTTTTCTAGGTAGTGGTGGAAACAGGACAAGGAAGAGCCATTTGCCATGTATTAGAATCTTCTGGTTTTTGCTCCATGAGACGTGGAACAAATTCTTTTTTTCTGGTACTATTTTCCTTCTGTGCAAGTTACCTCACACAGAACCACAGAACGGTTTGGGTTGTAAGGGACATCAAAGATCATGCAGTTCCAACCCCCCTGCCATGGGCATGCGACTGTTCATTTGTTCAGCGTTCTCTATCTGTAAAATCTGAAACGGTGTAAGAATTTCACGGCAGCTGTTCCTGCTGGAAGAATATACTTGCTGATGAAGAAAGAGCAAGTCTCTGCCTGCATTTCTGAAACCTCCCTTTGCAATGGCTACCAGCGTGCCATCTTACTTCACTGACTCTCCAAACTGAAACCCAGCCGTGTGGGTGTGCGTTTTGGGTCACCCAAGCAGTTTGAACCCCTCCGATTCCAGCCAGGCTGCACTATGCAGGTGACTGCAGAGGTCCTCGCACACTCAGGGGCGCAAGCTAAAACCCACACCCCCAAAACGCCATGTGGTCACAGCTCTGGGTGTCCGTTGGGACTACAAACAGAAAGCACCGCACGACCGCGCTTAGGACAGAGGCTGACAACAGCGATGGCGGCGGCGCGCAGCAGACAAGCGACGTGGGAGTAGGCTGCGGTTACAGCAGAGACCGCAGCCGGGGAAGAGGCCGGATCCGCGAGCTACCGGGAGCACCCGGCACCGCAACCGCCGACACCCTCCACCGGCTGCCGGGACCCAGCGCGCGTGCGCGCCTGAGTGGGCGGTGCGCGAGGAGGCCTCCAGCCTTCCCGGCGTGCCCCGCGCTCACCATAGAGTGGAGGAGTGGCTCAGCCGCTCTCTTGCTCTTTTCCAGCGCCGCGCCGCGCAGCGCACCGTACCCTACCGTGTGTGGGAGGCGGCGCGGCCGCGGCGACATGGCGGGCGTGGGGCAGGCGGGTAGTGCCGCCGCCGAGGCGGAGCAGCACCTCAACGGCGAGCTGCCGCCGGAGCCTGAGGACAAGGACGGCGCGGAGGGCGGCGCGGCAGGGCTGGGCGCGGAGGATGGTGCCAAGAAGAAGCGCAAGAAGAAAAAGAAGGGCAAAGCGGGCCCCGCGGGTAGGGGCCGGGTCGGGTCGCGCCGGGACTCTCCGCTGACAGGGCTGTTGGGCGGCCTGAGGGGGTTGCAAGCCGGCAGAAGGGGCTTTGCACGCGGCAGCGGGTGGCTGTAGGTGGCCAGAAGGTCCTGCCGTGCAGGGCACGGGTGGCGTGATGGGCGCCGCCGTCTCGGCCCGCGGCGGCTGTGTTGGCTGAGGGGGATCCCTGGGCGAGGAGGGGGCTGGCGGGGCCGGGAGGATGCTGCAGCCGTTGCTGCTGCCGTTCAGCACCGGGGGAGCTGGGGTGAGGGAAGTCCTACCTGCTCCTGTGCACGCAGGAGAAGCAACTCCTTGTCTTCTCACCTCCTATGCCCTGAGGGGGAGAAGGGCGTAAGGCGGCTGCTGTAAAAGTCATCACGCGTGATGGAGTCTTGGTACTCCTCCCTGCTTCTCTTGAGAGGGCTGGAGCAAGTCTGGGCAACTAGTGTAGAGGAACTACGGTTTGGGTTTGTTTTAGCATGCTAGCAGTTTGTGATGATCGTGCTGTGCTTTTATAATTATCTACTTCACGCCCATATTATCTCACAAGAGCACGCGGCTGCGATGGCAGAAGGAGTTTGTTATCCAGGCAGGAAAAAAAAGTAATTGGAAGCGTCTGGGTAATGTCTGAGTAATGCACAAGTTTCAGTAACAGTACCTGTCACTGTAATGCACTACAATCTTAGACATTGGATCTGCTTTAGAAATGAAAAAAAAAGTGCCATATGCTCAGGTCTCTATAGAATGACTGCAGCATAATAGTTTATAAGTTTTGGGGGTATTGTTTACTAATACGGAGCTATCCTTTTGCTGTAAGTCATACTTTAATTTTACAGGACAAGAAACAGATAAAGAAGTGGAAGGTGCACTTAATGACATAGCAAAACAGTTGGATAAGCAAGCACTGGAGGAGAAAGAAAAAGATGATGATGATGAAGGCAAGTGCATCTTTTCCCTTGACATTTCCAGTTTCAGCTTCTTCCTAGACTTCTACTTAAACCTTTCACAGATGCCTTTTTTATTTTCTTCCCTCATGGGAGAGGCAAGATGCAACTGTATATACTTGTCACTGTTTTGGCAACAGTTTAGCTGTCACACATGCATATGCGTGAAAAATAGTAGGTATAAAAGCTTTGTTAAATCTTGTTTTCAAGGATCTTCCGACTGAAGGGAATGTTTAGTTACCTTTAGTTTAAGGTAAAGTAAGCTATAAATCACCTTCACTCGGGTTACCATGGTCAGTATCAATTTATGGTCCAAATTACATCTCTTATTCTTGGCTTTGAACAAAATATACACTGAAAGCTTTAATGGAAAATTTCAGTTAATAGAAGGTCTTAGAATCTTAAGCTGTGACTTAAAACCTGTTCATCCATAGTCCTAATTTTTCATTAAAACTGAACTGGGGAGAGATTAATACATAAGCAAGGCATACACCTTGTATGTTGCTTTTGCTGTGCAGCTGGCGTTCTAAGCGGGTGCTTTGGAAGTGCCCAGTATTGTAGTACAGGCTGGATACATCTTTTCAGTAGGAATATCAGATTAAGATTCTGTATTTGCTTTGTTTTGATAGACGGTCCTCAATAGGAATGGACACTTAAGAAAATACATTTATTGTTAGTAATTTAGTTTGCTTCTTGTGAATTAGCATTTAAAGTTGGCTGAGCACCCTAAAGTGTTTCTTATTGTTCTGCTAAGAAGTCTTCTTAGTTGACTATTGCTGGAACTAGTAATTCCAGAATTTAATGAATGAGATGTAGAATTAAAAAACAAAACAAAACCAAGAAAAAAACCCAACCAACCAAATTGTGGTGGGATTGATTTATATATGGCATCCAGTTTTATGCAGTTACTTTTACTAGAAGTATATTCTGATGCTTCATTTGTTTTGTGGTATATTTCAGGTTATGGAGTTCAAATGTAATTTATACAACGTGTGCTTTGCCATCACTGCAGCTGGAGCAATAGGTATTGAAGAGGATAGTGAAAACTTTATACCATGAAAAGAGTTCTTTGAAGTAATCAGAACAGTTATAGTTCCATCTCAGGAGAAATAACATTGTTAGTCACAGATCAAGTTGTGTGCTCTTTTAACCTTTTTACAGTATTATCAATTACTATTACAGTATTAGAAAGTAGAGAAAAAAAATGTGGTGCTATGGCTGAAATAATAATCTTGCTTATTTTCCACACATTGGACTTGGATATGTTCTTAGAAAAACAGTGATATTTTTGCAGCTCCATAAAAATTGCTGGAAGTTGTTTTTTTTTTTTATGCAACTGTCTATTCTTGCCTGTATTGGTTCTTACCACTTGCCATCTTAATTGTGTAGTTTCAGATGTGTTGCTTGAGATATGGTTCTGCATTAGATTAAAACAATAAAATACCTACACCTCCGCACATCCCCCCCTTTATTTTTTCCTTGTTAAGCCTATAACTGAGTGGTTTCAGAGGTGAGATTGTGTATACCTTTTGAAATCTGGGAGAGATTAGGAAGGACTTTTCAGATTTCCATTGCAGTGTTAAAGCATGCTGATAGATAGCTTAATATCAGGTAAAAATGTTAAGTTATTA